TTCTACTTTTTTTATTTTCACTGCATTTATTACCTGCTGACCTAATATATAGCAATTTTCTTATTTATTATGTTTATTGGTATTGTTTGTCTTCCTAGAATATAATCTCCACAAAGCAAGATCTATTCTGTATTCAATGATGTATTGCGAGCTCCTAGAAGAGTGCCAAATTGGCTAAAGAAATGAGTGAAAAAATTAGAGTGCAACATAAGCTTTGCCGATTCCATATGGCAGATGGAGGAAGTGATTACACCTCCCATTCCTCAGAAAACAACTTGAAATGTCCTACTAGATATTTCTATTTTCCAAAGAGTCTTCTCTATACTGTGCACCTCAAGAGAGACTCAACTGACTTTTTTTTATTTACCTTTCTCACAAGAAAGAGCCCAGCAGCACTGGCTCCTTTCTCTCCTCATGGGGATCCTCACTCCTTTCATATACAGAGCTTTCTGATACTCATACTTACCTACTCCAAATATCTTCATGTTCAACAAAAGGAAGAGCCTTCCAGTCAATATGTCCTAGAAGGCTGGTTAGAGAGCAAGTTTGGATACTTGAGCATACCCTTGGATTGTCTCTCTCCTCTCTCACCTCTTACCTTTCACCTCAATCTTTTTTATCAACTATTATGCCAAAAGATGCAATGATCTCCCCAAGAGGAATTCTTGTATTAGCTGCTAAGAGATTACACTCATTCTTTTTCATCTAGTCAAATAACTTTGTAAGAGGTAAGCGCAATAGTGGTTTACAGTAACTTAATTTCAAGCAGCATGTGGGATGAAGGGCTGACAGGCTCTTAGTACAGGCTCTGGTGACTACCCGCTATGCCAGGTCAGCTTTCTCCTCAGAGGTAGAGTTGAACCTGAGCTTCAGGCTTTAAACAAGGGCTCAAAGGCAGGATGAATGAGGACACTATAGAGTCAGAGACTGGTGAGGAATTTCTGAAAAAGACTCTAAAAGTTAGCAACCAGAGTAATGAGAGCATTTGCCAGTATAAAGGCTGCCCATGATACATAGGCAGAGAGAACCAGGAGGGCTGGAAGCCGTTGCAGAAAATCTAAAGGTCATTTTAGGCTGTGATGTTATTTCAGCAGTCTGTTATCAGAGACAAGAATTCTGAAGAGAGCTGATCATCTTCATGAGTATATACTCTTCAGAATCCATGGAATTCTGGAGTCCAGGTGGTGCATAATTGTCCCCATCATTTGAACATGTAAACTAGTGTCTTAGGCACTATACGTTTATATACTGCTATCATTGCATGAATATTGATTGTCACATGTGTAAATGGAAGTCAACTTTGGTGATAAAGCATCTTTAGTTGGTAAAAGAATCTTTATCAGATGAAGATTAGTAGAATATATGCTACATGAAGGTGGGGAATTATTTTTATTTTCTTCACTGCTGTATTCCCAGGTGCTAGAATAATGCCTAGCACATAGTAGATATTCAGTAAATATTTGTTCAGTTAATGAATGAATCTTCCATCGATCAATCTGCCATTGATTTAAAGTCCAAAATATACCTGTAAGAATTATAGGTGATGTTAGTGGAAATGGTGTCAAGATCGTATAGCATGACAACACCTCAGGGAATCTCCCTTTGTCATCTTAAGGACTAAATCTAAAGGTAGCTGGAAGATGATTGTTATAAGACCGTGAAATTTATTGTTGAAAAAAAATCACTGCAGAAACTTAAGAGCTCTCTCAGGGGGTTCCCAAAATACCCAGAGCTGACATGGAATGTCATCTCATCTGGTCCAATTCACCTGAGGGACAGACATTTATCTTTTGTTTAGAGAGAAAAATAAAGACAAGCTTGAACTTCTGCTTGAACCTGGTGCCCTTGAAGTGACCACATATCAAGTCACTACACAACTACTCCTGTATTAGAAACAGGGATTGGGTGTGGTGTGGAAGACTGAGCCTGAAGGCCTATCCTCATCATCCTGGGGTGTTTTTCACTTTGGGCAATTGCTGTTTTAACCACATGATGCTCCAGTTCCTCATTTGTAAACTATCACTTACCCCAAGGAAGTTGTGCTAGAATGCCTACCTGTCTACTTTATGGGGCTGCTTGGAAATCCCACATAAGATGTGTTTGAAGTACTTTGCTAGTTGAGCAGTTTTACACAAATAAAAGTGGAAATTCTGAATGTAGTTTAAGGAGAAATCAAACAGAGAATATACAAAAGTTATTCTAATTTTACAAAAATATATAGATTAGTGAAATTATGAATTTCTAAAAAAAAAAGAATAAGAATAAAGACACAAATGTACAATGTCCTAAAATCAAAGGCAGCCACACTTCCCCTGAGGAACCACACGAAAGAAGTCAGTTTCTGCTGAATCAGCCAAGACATGACATATCGATAATCAAAACAATGCGAGCAATGCCATGTTTTAAATTTGATCCAGATTTAATATAAACATACCCAAGAACAGCTTTGCTGGAGTAAAATATATAGGGTCTTAAAGATGAAAACGAGATGTTAGGAGCTATTTACTGTTGAGCTTTCAGCTACATCTCCTGAGGAATCATCAGAGCCATAAGGTGGGGAATGTAATAACTCTTCTGAGGCATTGCAGCTGCTGAAATGCAGACAGATGGAATTTCTGCACTCTCCAGTATAATACAGAAACAATCTCACAGTAGGATAAACACCTATTCCTTGAAAATTTTCTCTTAGCCCTTGAGAGAGGATATTGTATAGACTGGCCGGTAAAACCTTAGTGTTTCGGATTTTCATTTTGTATCTGGTTTCCTGTGTACCCTTTAGGAGTCTGTCTCTGTAGCTATAGGAGTGCAGTCCTGTGCTGAATCCTCTAAGACTATACAAAATATAAACATGGCTAATATTTTGGCAAGTTGAAGTCCACAGATGTCATTTGTATTGATACTGAAATCATGGTACCCCAGACTTCGTTGTTGGGAACAAACAAAATGGAAAACCAGACTTTTGTTGTTGATACTGTGAAGATGACATGTGGCGTGGTATCATAAGAAACTTACCAAATCAACTAGTACTTAATGTTCAGCAAATCAAAACTCTGATTTCCTTGAGAGCATTGGAAAATAATTCATTAATTGCATTTTTATCTTTACTTTGTGGCAATATATTGTGCTCCATTGAGATTGAGGTGACTTTTTCCCATCAAATGTTGATTAAGAACTTCCTGAGTGCCAGCCACTCTGCTGGGGCCAGACGCAGGCTGCAATTTTCAATATTTCAATCTCTGAGTTAAAATGTTCCGTATTTGCTGGTTCACTTTAGTTAGTCAACAAGGTTCATCTCATCAGGAAATACATAGTTTAGGGAATGGTGACAGTGAATAGGCAGCTGACTACACAACTGATCACATCAGCTTTTGTGGAGAGAGAGACAGAAGAGACAGAGAAGTTTTCAAAGGTTGTATTTTTCTATTGTTACTCTGAATCGGTAACTCATGAAAAAAGTTAGCTTTTTTTCTGATTAAAGAAAAGTAAGACATGATCATTATAAGAACATTTGTGAAATACAATGAGGTAAATAAAAATTAGTTTTAATCCTAATACCAGGGATAATCACATAATCACAGTAACTTTTGATATACTTCTTTCTAGGCCAAGTTATATTATGCTTTTTTAGAACCAAATGGTGTTTTTCCCCTTAAATTATCTTGAACTTTGTCCCCAGACATCCAGTATTTTCTACAATGTACTTTTTGATGGCTATAACAGTATTCCTTATTATTGAGGTTCCAAAATTTATTTAACCAGTCCCCTACTATTGCTGTTATTTCACAGTTTCCTCATTATCAACCATGGTGGCATGAATATCCTTAAAAATAAAAACTTGCACTTATTTATAAAGATTTCCTTTGTATGAAGTTCAAGAAATAAGATTGCTGTGTCAAAGGTGATTCACATTTAAAAGGCATTTGATGCACATTACCAAATATTTAAGTGTATTTTAACATTCATTTTGTTGAACTGATTTACCGTTTTATTAATGGTTTCCCTTAAAAAAAATTTCTAGCTTTTATCTTAGATTTATTGTCTCCTGTAATTTTGAAACAATTGAATATCTATTGAATTTTGAGAAGAAAAAGAGCCCTATAGTACTAAAAGCAAAAAATACCAAAATGCAACCGTGTTAAGGAAAAGACAAGAATGAAAATATTATTAGCTAATGTTATTTCACATTTCTTCTGCCAAAATAGACTCTGGCATTTTTAACTGGCATTTTTATTAAGACAAGTAAAATACATTTCAAATATAGGGCATGGGGTCTCCATGCCTGTTTGAGGCACACGTCAATTTATTCTTTTTGTGTGTGTGTGAGGAAGATCAGCCCTGAGCTAACATCCAATGCCAATCCTCCTCTTTTTGCTGGGGAAGATTGGCCCTGGGCTAACATCCGTGCCCATCTTCCTCTACTTTATATGGGACGCCGCCACAGCATGGCTTGATGAGCAGTGCATTGGTGCGCGCCCGGGATCCGAACCTGTGAACCCTGGGACGCACAAGCAGAGCGCCCACACTTAACTGCTCTGCCACGGGGCCAGGCCCATTAGTTTATTCTTTTTGCTGTAACTTTCTCTGTGCAACATTGAGTAGCATTTTAGAAGGAGAGTTTGTTTTTTTATGTTTGTTCAACTAATAGCACTTCGCTTTGAAATAATTTTCAGTTGTTAATAAAAATACTCTCATTTGGTATTTTCCTCCCAGAAGTTGTGCCAAACTACTCTCTTGTGTTCTGAACATGGATGCCTCTCACTCTGCAAGCCCATTGGTGAATTTTCTTTCCTTTTCTCGAGCAAACACTCTTTGCGTTATTCTTGCACAATTGATGTTCTAGAAGATCAAAGACAAACCCGTGACAACAAAACTAAGGGAATTTGGAAACAAATCTGCTGAATAGCAAAGGAAGATTTGTTTTTTTCTGTTCTTTATTTGTCTTTCCTAATTTTAAAAGAAAATTTTTTCTTCTGACATTGTTTTTCTCCCCTTTTTTTTAGTGCTCTGTGGAGAGAGCGAGAGCTTTCCATGTGCCAACGGAATCTGCGTCCCCAGGAAACTGCAGTGTAACGGCTACAATGACTGTGATGACTGGAGTGATGAGGCTCATTGCAGTACGTGACAGGCTGTTTGGGGGTTGTCTGGGTGGACAGGGTTCTAGTCAGGGGCCTAGAAACCAAAGCTATTCCATCGTCCAGTCTTGACAACCACCCGCGTTTGCGCAGACTACTGTCAGTCTGCCTTTCTAAAGTGAGCAATCGTGTTTATCTTCCCGCCGTGTGACCGCAGTGTTTGCACACCTTTCAAAGGCGCGATTTCGTTAGGAACCCAACAGCTAGATGCAGCATTGGAACAGATCAGGAACTGAAGCGGTTTTGCAAAAAGTGTCTTAAAATTGGGAGAAGCTTTTCATTTATTTTGCTTGGATGTGGATTTTCGTTTTTGTTTTTAAAGCTTATGAGTAGAAAGATCAACTTTTTTAAAAAGGACATTTTTAACAGGAAAATCTTTCCCCCTCATGATTCTTCACATTCATGACACAGCGGATGCAAAGCCTCCTGTTTGTTTATGCTTCCCCTAAACCCGGAGATAGTCGATGGCATTAACGGAGATAGTTGATGGCATTAACTGTTTTAAATTCTTGGATCCTTAGATTCAGCCTTAAAAATCCTCAGTTTACTTATCATTGATTTGATTAGTTGTTTTGACTGAATGGGGTCGAAGGTTTGTCCAATACTGTATTAGTCCACTTTAGGCTGCCATACAAAATACTGCAGACTGCATGGTGTAAACAGCAGAAATCTATTTTCTCGTAGTTCTGAAGGCTGGAAAGTTCAAGATCAAGGTCCGACAGGGTTCAATTTCTGGTGAGAGTTCTCTTCCGGGCTTGTAGGCAGCTGACACCTCCCTGTATGCTCACTTGACCTCTTTGGAGGGAGAGATGAAAGAGGGAGACAGGGCGAGGGGAAGGAGGGCTGGGGGAAGGGGGAGGGGAAGGAGGGCAGGATCCCAGCCCTATTGGGTTAGGGACCCACGCTTCTGAATCATTTAATCTCTATCACCTCCTCACAGGCCGTATCTCCAAATACCGTCCAATGTTGGGGGTTAGGGCTTCAACATTTGAATTTTGGGAGGGCACAAATATTCAGTCTATAATAAATATATATTCAGATTTAAAGTTGTTCTGCACTTACGCAACAGATTAAAAAAAAGGAGAAAGCCTCAAGAATACATTGCAGGATCTGCTTCCAGAGCAGAACCATGTGCAATTGTGTTCTAATTGCTGTTTAATGGTTATACAACCAAAAATAGTTACTATGGGAAAAGCAGCGTTTTACACCGTGCAGGAGTTGCTAACGCTTTGTAAGAGCTCGGGATGCTGACCTCAATTGAGAGCTTCCTCTGGTCTGTTTGCCAGGTGGACCCACTCGTCTTCCTCCTGAAGGTCAGGATGCTTATTTGTTATAACATTTGAAAGGCAGTATATTATGATAATATTTCAGGTCAATGTTTCCCAAACTGGTGTGCAGTACCCGAGTCTTGAAAAATGCTTGAGAAAAAAAATAAGTTTGAGAAATCCTCTCTATGCTTCCGTGGATTAGACGCAAAAAATGGTCTCTGCTAAGCACTTGTCTGCTTTTATAAGACATGGGACTAATTAGGTAGTTTATTGACTTGTTCATTTATTTTTTAGTCATCTTCAAAGGGAGGAAGGGAAAGGGTTTGTTATTTGTGAGTTCCTTAATCAACTGTGCTAGAAGCATGTACCTACATGATCTGATTTAATTATCAGCAAAGCAGGTGTTGTCCACTTTTGTAAAGATGCAGAGCCAAGGCTTGGGGCCGTGAATGAATTTGCCAGTGGTTCCAAGTTCTAGATTTCAGTCTTGAATGATGCCAAATCTAATGCTATTTTCCCTAAACTGTGCTGCCTTTGACTTGCCCTTGTCCATAAAAGTTCAGATTTGGTGAACGATTACGTTCTGATCACTTGTGTGACAGGAAAATATTTGACTATTTTGGTTGCCCTATTACCCTTTGGGAGGTAATTGACTATTACCATGGCACTCCAGGGATCTTGGACAGCTGACTGACTTTCTCCCCTAAGTAATTTTAGCGTATTTATCAGTTCCTTCCTAAGTATTTGTTGAATGAACAGATTTCCAACCACCTGGAACATTTTTAATGGTGGAGTGAAAAGATTTTTGAAAATTAGGAAAAGTTTTCTTTTAAAAACATCCAGCTCTGTGATTCAGCAGGCTACTCCTCTAATCCTCAATTCCTCTGTCATCAAGGCTGGCTGTACATTAGCATCTCCAGGAGGCCCCACCTGCGGGGATTCATGTTCAGTTGTTCAGGAGGTGGGGCCCAGACAGCAGCACTTTAGCAAAGCTCCCCAGGTGACTCTAATGTGCAGCCAGATTTGAAACCACTGGACTAGAAGGTGTCTGGTGTCTCCTTCGCTGCTAACATTCTATAATCTTTTGATTCTAAAGAAGCTCTAGAACAGTGCCTGGTACATAGCAGTCGTTAGCTAATAGATAAGTAAAGAAAACCCCAAGGACAGTAGCTACCACAAAGTTCGTACACTTTATGCCACCTAAAACCACAGTCAGACCTTTGGAAATAATTTGCTCTGAGTTTTGGGTAAAATTGGTTGACTTATTTTTGAGGACTGTGGTTAACTAATTATACTGAGTGCAGTATAGTGTAGTGACTAATAATAGAAGTTCTTGAGTCAGGCTGCCTGGGTTCCTATCTCTTTACCATTTCCTGCCTCTGTGAACTTGGGCAAGTTACTCAATCTCTCTGTGCCTCAGTTTCCTTGTCAGTAAAATGGAAGCAATAATGGTAACTATAGCTAGAATTGTGCAGAATGAATCACTGGATATAAAGCACGTAGACCAGTGTCTGGCATGCAGTAACTCTTGCAGAGTGTTAGAATTTATTATGCGGTTGTGGTTGTTGTTACTGTTGTTATCTTATTCTCCACTCCTCACACCCTCTCTACGCCCCTCCCCGAGTACCTCTCACCTCCAGAGTGCAGAGGATGACCGCTGGACATCATGGAGACAGCTGATAAGTGTCAGGTGATATGTTGTAGAGGAGACAGAAACACTCAAATATACATAACAGTTTTAAAAGCAGACCACATGTAGCTATTTTAGAAAGGAGGCAACTCAAACAGCACAAAATAAAAATTGGTGTTTCTGAGTCATCAAAAATGACTGTATTTTCTATATTCTCTTTACTAAGACAGAGACGCAAGTAAATACTGGAAAGATTTCCATCCAAATAATAAAAATAAAAATATTTCATTCTACACTTACGGAAGAAGCTTCAGATATCTGGAAAATTTTCTTGTTTAGTGGCAATCTGATTATACTGAATCAATCAAACTGCTGAATATTCTTGAATTCCTGCTATGTGTGAAGCATGTTCTAGGTACCTATAAATATAAAGACTAAGACATGGTTTCTTTCCTCATGAGGCTTTTAGTCTAATTAGAGACATATCATATAAACATAGAGATCATTAAATATGGTGTTGTAGAACAATATAATAGAAGAAATATCACAAAGCAAAAGAAGATTGGTATAAACAAAATGATAGGGATGGAAAGTTCTATGAGTGAGGAAGAGAGCAGGGTCCTTAGCTGCTGGATTAGTGTGGAAAGAATGGATGGAAAAGATGGGATTAAAGCTAGGCCTTGGACAACCAAAATACTAATTACAACCCATCACCACACACATGTACCAAATTCTCCCTTTCACCCTCCTCCCTCCCCCTTTCCCCTCTGGTAACCACCAATCCAATCTCTGTCCCTATGTGTTTGTTTATTGTTGTTATTATCTACTACTTAATGAAGGAAATCATACGGTATTTG